GTCTCACTTCCTGCTTAACACTAACAGTGATGCCATTGCTGAAAAGAAGAGTGTTTATCTTCTCTTTCAACTAATTTATATATTATTACTATTATAGGTATTTCTGGGGTATGGATACAAGTATAATGTAACAATCAAATCGGTTTAGTTTACATTTCTACCTCCTTAGACATTAAATTTTTTTCTTTATGTTTTTTAGGTTTTTAATTTTCTTAAAAATTTTGTTTTAATACTTTATATTATATATAAAGCATACCTTATAATACAATGCATTATAATAGACAGTATTATGTTTACAATTTATGTTGTAAATATTTGGGGTACAGTGTATTTTTCAAAAAATGTGTACAATGTGCACTGTTCAAATCAGGGAAATTTTTTTTTTTTTTTTTTTGGACAGGCAGAGTGGACAGTGAGAGAAAGACAGAGAGAAAGGTCTTCCTTTTTCAGTTGGTTCACCCCCCAGTGGCCACTGCGGCCGGCGCACCGCGCTGATCTGAAGCCAGGAGCCAGGTGCTTCTCCTGGTCTCCAATGGGGTGCAGGGCCCAAGCACTTGGGCCATCCTCCACTGCACTCCCTGGCCACAGCAGAGAGCTGGCCTGGAAGAGGGGCAACCGGGACAGAATCTGGCGCCCCGACTGGGACTAGAACCCAGTGTGCCAGCGCCACAGGCGGAGGATTAGCTTAGTGAGCCGCGGCGCCGGCCAAATCAGGGTAATTTTGAAAATCAAGATAATTACTGTTATCTTTTCCTTAGCATTACTTTATGTTTGCAGGCTTTGAGCTTGTCTCTTGTATTTATTCATAAAAAATGTACAACAGGTTATTGTGAACTACAGTCACTCCAGTTTGCTTTAGAACACTAGAACTTTCTTTTTTTTTTTTTTTTTTAAGATTTATTTGAGAGGCAGAGTTAGAGAGAGAGAGAGAGAGAGAGAGGGAGAGGGGTCTTCCATCCGCTGGTTCACTCCCCAGATGTCCACAATGGCCAGAGCTGGGCAGATCCAAAGCCGGGAGCCAGGAGCTTCTTCCTGGTCTCCCAGGTGGGTGCAGGGTCCCAAGCACTTGGGCCATGTTCTGTGGCTTTCCCAGGCAGAGAGCTGGATAAGAAGTGAAGCAGCCAGGACTTCAAGGGGCCTCCCTATGGGATGCTCGTGCCTCAATTGGAGGCCACAGCGCCAGCCCCTAGAATTTAGTCTTTCTCTCTGGCTGTATTTTGGCACCCATTATCCTCCAGCCCTCTAGGCCCCGCCCCCAATCTAATTTATATTGAGAAGCAGTCTATTGGCCCTGCAATTTCTGGACTCTCTTTTGCCATTCTTTCCCACTTGCAAACACTTTTTTTCCTTCTCTTCTCTGTCTCTTTGCCAGACACAGTTGCTACTTTAGGCCAGCATTGTGGTGCACCAGGTAAAGCCACCACCCATAACATCAGCATCTCACATAGCTGCCAGTTCATGTCCTGGCCATTCCACTTCTGATCTAGCTCCCTGCTAATGGCCTGGAAAAGCAGCGGAGGATGGCCCAAGTCTTTGGGCCCCTGCACCAGAGTGGGAGACCTGAATGAAGCTCCCAACTCCTGGCTTCGGCTTGGTCATTGCAGCCATCTGGGGGAGTGATCCATAGTTTGCCAGGTTGCTCTCTCATTCTCTTGCTGTATCTCTGACTTTCAAATAAATAAATCTTAAAAAAAAAAAAAAAAAAAGTCGATACCATTAACATTATGCTTTCTGATTGCTTCTTTCAGAACTACAAATGCATTAGGTACAGTACCTACGTTCCATGGAAGTTTAGACAAGAGCTCTGCGAAAGGTCTCGCAGGATCCTTGTCACTGCCAATGCCACTTTTGTAGATGTTCTGCCAGCATCCTATACTAGGGATCAGTCCAGACCAGGGAGGTTGGGCTTAGTAACCTCAACCTTCCAACAACTTCAGTAGAAGCTTGGTTCTCCTACGCCACTTGTCCGATCTGCATTCACAGGGAGGTAACGCGAGTACCTCTGCCATATGCTTTCGCAGTCCTCACAGCAGGGAGAAGGGGTGCGTGGCACAAATCCATGGCTCTGCCTAGAAGTGACACTCCTCCCCTCTGTTAGCACTTTGCTTCATGGTAAATCACTTGGAGCTACCTAACTTGCAAGGTATTACCGTGTCAGAGTTGCAGAAAAGACAGCCTGGGTATTTGTGAACCAACTCAGTGACCACCCCAGGATTTTGTGTTTTGGTTTAATTGCGGTGAGATAGACTGTAGGGTAACAGCAACAACAATATTAACATTACCCACACCCCTGGATCTAGTTTCAAACTCCAGCCAGGGTTCCTACTGCACTATTATGGTCCTAAGAGTTGGCCACTGTATTTCTGATCCCACCTTCAAATGAAATTTATTTTTGCTTTAAAGCTGAATAAAAATATGTAATCCTTAAGGCTCAGTTCCTTCCACTAAGTCACAGTGGCTCAAGATAGAGTCTAATTGGGATTTTTGCTTGTGTCCATCCTCCTTTCCTACCCAATGTTTCATTCCGCAACTCTACTGAAGACTGCAAAACCACAATTCATAATGTGTTTTGCAAGAGGAGCAATTCAGAAAAATAAAAAAATTTGACCTTATTAAAAATGAAATCTGTTTTTACTCAAAATAAAAATGGCTTAATCTAGTTCAATGAAATAATGGCTATTCTCATCAAAGTTACCATTATGTACTTTGTGAAATGGAGGAATGATATTTGGGAAGAAGATTGAACTGCTTTATATTAAGATTAATATAAATATTTGGACATAGTTGAGAAGCAATAACATAAAGTGACATTCTAGCTTTTTCTATCCTAAAATTAGATCCTTTCTTAAGGTTAGGATTACCAAACATTGACTTTTTTTTTTAAAGATTTATTTTATTTATTTGAAAGACAGAGTTACAGAGAGAGGGAGAGACAGAGAGGTCTTCCATCTGCTGGTTCACGCCCCAGATGGCCATAACGCCCAGAGCTGCGCCTATCCGAAGCTAGGAGCCAGGAGCTTCTTCCAGGTCTCTCACGTGGGTGCAGGGGCCCAAGGACTTGGGCCTTCTTCCACTGTGATCCCAGGCCTTAGCAGAGAGCTGGATTGGAAGAGGAGAAGCCGGGACTCGAACCGGCACCCATATGGGATGCCAGCGCTTCAGGCCAGGGCTTTAACCCGCTGCGCCACAGCACCAGCCCCGGCTTTTTTTTTTTTTTCATCTCTTTTAAGATTTATTTATTTATTTGAAAGTCAGAGTTACACACGGAGAGAAGGACAGGTAGGGGGTGGGGAGGGAGAAGGAGAGGAAGAGAGAGAGGGAGAGGTCTTCCATTTGCTGGTTCACTCCCCAATTGGCCCCAAAGGCCGGAGGTGCACCAATCTGAAGTCAGGAGCCAGGAGCTTTTTCTGGGTCTCCCACGCAGGTGCAGAGACACAAGGACTTGGGTCATCCTCCACTGCTTTCCAGACCACAGCAGAGAGCTGGATCAGAAATGGAGTAGCCAGCGCCCGATACCCACTATGCCACAGCACCGGCCACAGCTTTTTCGTCATTGGTTTAAAATGCCCTGATGAGGGGTGGGCGTTTGGTACAGCTTGGAATGCCCACATCCCATATCAGAACACCTGGGTTCAAGTCCCAGCTCCCCTCCTGATTCCAGCTTCTTGCTAATTTATACCATGGAGGCGACAGTGATGGCTGAAATGACTGGCTCCCTGCCGCCCCATATGGGAGACTTGGATCTAGGTCCTGGCTCCCAGCTTTGGGCTGGCCTAGCCCCAGCTTGTGGGCATTTGGGGAGTCAACCAGTGATGTGCACTCTCCCTCTGTGTCAATCTCTCTGCCTTTCAAGCTAATTTTTAAAAATTAAGTTAATTAAATAAAAAAACGTAACTTATTGAAAGATAATAGAAGTTCTCAGGATTAAAAGAAGCCTGGAAGAGTGGACTTGCAAAGTGACCTAGAACCCCAAGAGCCGTACTTGGGATCACTGAGTGGGGCCTGGTGCAGGGAACTCTGCTTGCCAGGTCTGTGTCCTGGGTCCCTGGGTCCCTGGGTCCTAGCAGACACCAGAGACCAGCAGTGAGGTTTTGTTTGATTGAATCGGGTTCTCACACCTGTCCCTCCACCTAATCCAGGAAGCTATTGTCCCCCAGCTTCTGGCTTCCATGTTAGTGGGCTCACTCCAGGTGCTCCCCCTTCCACCAGTTTCTCCATTCCACAGTGCGGAGTTCCTACAGTGTTGGCTACCTCAATGGGGGTGAGTTAGAGGTGGGTCAGCCAGAGGGGGTAAAGGCTGACTACGGGTGAAATAACCTCTATACCAGGTCATGTCTTCAATAAAAGACTTCTAATAGAAAGTAGAATTTGACCCAAGCCAACCTGAGCCTGTTGTCTTCTTCCTTAATTTGTCCTACTACAGATTTTTTGAATGTTTTCTTGATAACTAATAGATTTTAATTTTTTCATATCTTTTGGCCATTTGGTATATGCTCTTTAGAGGTATACCACTTCAAGTCTCTTGTCAATTTTTCTGTTGGATTGTTGGCTTTTTATTTTGTTAAATTGATTTGGAGGCATTTTATCAATTCCTGGTACAATATTCTGAAAAAGTCCTTTCATTGGATATATTTATAAGTAGACACTGAAAAGTTTCACAGAGGGGCCAGAATTGTGGCATAGCAGGTTAAGCTGCTGACTGCAATGCTGGCATCCCACATGGGTGCTGGTTCAAGTCCCAGCTGCTCCAATTTTGATCCAGTTCCCTCTAAAGTGCCTGAGAAAGCATCTGAGGATGGCCAGGTGCTTTGAGCCCTTCCACCCACATGAAGGGATCCCGAAGAAGCTCCTGGCTCCTGGCTTTGGCCAGGCCTAGCCCTAGCCGTTGCAGCCATTTGGAGAGTTAGCCAGCAGATGGAAAATCTCTCTGTAGTTCTTACCCTCTCTCTCTGTAACTCTGCCTTTCAAATAAATAGATTAAAAAAAATTTTTTACTACTATTTTATTGCCAGCATTTATAAAACCAGACATAGGGAAAGAACTAGGCCTGGGGACACATGCATGGTCTTGATATAGCGATTTTTTTTTTGTTTGTTTGACAGGCAGAGTGGACAGTGAGAGAGAGAGACAGAGACAGAGAGAAAGGTCTTTCTTTTCTGTTAGTTCACCACCCGCCCTGGTGTGCTGCGCTGATCGGAAGCCAGCAGCCAGGTCTTTCCTCCTGGTCTTCCATGCGGGTGCGGGACCCAAGCACTTGGACCATCCTCCACTGCACTCCCGGGCCACAGCAGAGAGCTGGACTGGAAGAGGAGCAACTGGGACAGAATCTGGCACCCCAACTGGGACTAGAACCAGAGTACCTGCGTCGCAGGCAGAAGATTAGCCTAGTGAGCCCCTGCGCCGGCCTTCATTATCATTTTCAATTCCTATAGGATCTGTAGTGATATTCCTTTCTTCATTTCTGATAATTTTAATTTCTCTTTTATTCTTCTTGATTATTAGAGACATCAGTTTTATTAAAATTTTCAAATATTCAAACTTTGGCTTTAATTGTCTCTGTTTTATATTTGTTTCGAATTTTATTTCTGCTCTAGTGTGTATTATTTCCTCACTGCTAGTTTCTTTAGTTTCTTTAGTTTGATTTGTTACTCTCCTAAAACCTTCCTGAGGGCTGTGAATAAAATTTATGGGAGGCCATTGTTTTGAACGAAGCTCCTACACCAGACCTAATAGACCGCACCAAACCAAAATGGCGTCATTCGTGTAAGGTGATATGTAATCAAACTGAACTTCGAAACAGCTTTCTAAAGAGACAGGAGATTCACAGTGACCTGACAAAGGGCCCAGCTCATCTGAGCCAGCATGATGAGCCAGTCCCCTCTGTTGTAACTCTATAAAGAAATGTAATTATGAAATGTTCTTTCCATGTTTTTTGTTCTCTATTTCTGCCGTTTTCTGCTCATTGTACCACCTTTTCTGAGTTGTTAGAGAAGATAAATTCACAAATCACTAATAAAAGCCAATTAGATCTTTAAACTAAATTTGTTGAAATTTTACATTTTGTAAGAAGGAAACTTGAATAATTGATTTTTAATATTTTTTATTTTTTCTAATATAGAGATATAAAGCTATATATTTACCCTTGAGTGATTTTTAGGTGTGTCTCACAAGGTTTGAGTTTTTTTGTTGTCTTTGTTTCTGTTTTACTATTTTGTTGTTATTGCGGTGTCCTATATAGTACACAGTTGTCACTTGGAGTTACAAATTCGGCAAAGTTACAGGACACAAAATCAACACACAAAAATGAGCTCTATTTCTGTATGTGAGCATAACAATCTGAAAAGGAAATTCAAAAACAATCTTTTTAAAATAGCAATGGCGGGGGAGGTAGGGATTGTAGGGGTTGTGGCACAGTGGATAGGTTAAGCTGCAGCCTACGATGCTAGCATTCCATTCACTGCTGGTTTGGGACCTGGCTGCTCTACTTCCGATCCAGCTCCCTGATAATGTGCCTGGGAAAAGCAGCAAAAGATGGCCCAAGTGTTTGAGCCCCTGCACCTACTTAGGAGACAGGGAGGAGGAGCTCCTGACTCCTGATTCCTGGCTCCTGCATCCTAGCTTTGGCCTTGCTCAGCCCCAGCCATTCCAGCTATTTAGGGAGTTAACCAGTTGATGGAGGATCTCTACCCTTCAAATAAATAAAACAATTTTTTTTTTTTGACAGGCAGATTTGGCAGTGAGAGAGAGAGACAGAGAAAAAGGTCTTCCTTTTCCATTGGTTTACCCTCCAAATGGCTGCTACGGCTGGTGCACTGCACCGATCCGAAGCCAGGAACCAGGTCTTTCCTCCTAGTCTCCCATGCTGGTGTAGGGCCCAAGTACTTGGGCCATCCTCCACTGCACTCCCGGGCCACAGCAGAGAGCTGGACTGGAAGAGGAGCAATTGGGACTAGAACCTGGGGTGCTGGCACTGCAGGCAGAGGATTAGCCAAGTGAGCTGCGGCACTGGCCAATAAAACAATTTTTTTAAGATTTATTTATTAGAGAGGCAGGGGCAGAGAAAGAGAGAGAGAGAGAGAGAGAGAGTCTTCCATCCTCTGGTTTACTCTCCAGATGGCTGCAATGGCTGGAGCTGCATCAATCCAAAGCCAGGAGCCAGGAGCTTCTTCCAGGTCTCCCATGAGGGTGCAGGGGCCTCCTTCTACTGCTTTCCCAGGCCTTAGCAGAGAGCTGGATCAGAAGTGGAGCAGGCTAGACTTGAACCAGCACCCACATGGGATGCTGGCACTGCAGGCAGCGGCTTTACCTGCTACACCACAGCGGCAGCCCAACATACTATAAGTCTTGACGTGTTGTGTTTTTGTTTGTATTCATCACAAGGTAGTTTCTAATATCCCTTATGGGAAATTCTTCTTTGATCTATTGGCTGTTTAAGAGTGTTTATTTTCCACGTATTTGCAGATTTTCTATTGGTTTCTAATTTCATTTCATTGTGCTTGGAAAAGACATTTTCTGTTTTTTTCCACCACTAACACATTTATTTGAGGGTGACAAGGTCAGATCTTACCAGGAGTTTTTAAAATGGGTAGGACTAGGCAGAAAAGATATTTTCTAACACTTCAATATTTTTTAGTGCAGTAAGACTTGTTTTAGGGCCTAACATATGTGCCATCTGTATTTCCTTCACACACTTTGGGACTTTGTCATGAGGCACACATAAGTTTATATTTGTTATACCTTCTTTTTAAAATGTTTTACTTATTTATTGTCACTTTATTTTTGTAAAGATTTATTTTATTTACTTGAAAGGCAGAGTTACAGAGAGAGAGAGAAAGAGAGAGAGAGAGGTCTTCTACTTGGAATTGGGTTCTCAACAGAACTGAATCTACTAGTGCCTTGATCTTGGACTTTCCAAGAATTGTGGGAAATAAATTTCTGGTTTTTTTTTAAAGATTTATTTATTTTTTGAAAGTCAGAGTTACACACAGAGAAGGGGAGGCAGAGAGAGAGAGAGAGAGAGAGAGAGAGAGAGATCTTCCATCCGCTGGTTCACTCCCCAGTTGGCCACAATGGCCAGAGCTGTGCCGATCCAAAGCCAGGAGCCAGGAGCTTCTTCTGGGTCTCCCACATGGGTGCTGGGGTCCAAGTACTTCGGCCATCTTCCAGTGCTTTCCCAGACACATTAGCGATGAGCTGGATTAGAAGTAGAGCAGCTGGGACTTGAACCAACAGCCATATGTGATGCCGGCACTGCAGGCCAGGGCTCTAAACTACTGCGCCACAGTGCCAGGCCCAGATGGATCATCTTTTAAATCCACTCTACCAATCTATGCTTTTCAGAGTTTAATCCATTTATTTGTAGTTTAAAGTAATTACAGATAATAATAATTATTATTATCAATCAATTATTATCAATTATTATTATCAATAATGACTTTTTTCCTGTGTTCTTTATGCTTGACATTCTTCCTCTGAGTTCCTTCCTTCTTTCTTTTTCTGCACATATTGAAGTTATTTTCTTAGTGGTTACTTTGGGAATTACACTTATCGTCTTCAAGTGATAATAACCTGGGAACAGCACTGCGGATAGTGGGTTAGACCTCCGCTTACAGTGGCAGCATCACTGATCGGAGTGCTTTAGTCCTGATTATTCTGGTTTTAGCCCAGAGCCCTCCTAAAGCACCTGGGAAGCAGCAGATGGTGGCTCAGGTACTGGCTCCCTGCCTCCCACATGAGGAACCTGGATTGAGTTCTTAGCTCCTGGCTTCAGCTTGACCCAGTCCTGGCTACGTGAGGGCATTTGGTGGAGGGCAACCAGTAGATGGAAGATCTCTTCTCTCTGACTCTGTCTCTCCCTCTCCCTCTATTACTCTGCCTTTCAAAGGAATAAACAAGTAAATTTTTTTAAAAAATCTATAGCACCCTACTTTGAATAGTACAAAATAAATTTCAGTAATACACATCTTGCTTTCACACATCACTGTCTTTTCCCCTTCATAGTATTATTGCCACAGTTTACATTTTTATAAATCGTATCCCTTTCACATAGCTTCTTTCTCTCTGTCTCTCTCTCTCACTGTCCACTCTGCCTGTCAAAACAAAAAAAAAAGCCGGCGCCGCGGCTCACTAGGCTAATCCTCCGCCTTGTGGCGCCGGCACACCGGGTTCTAGTCCCAGTCGGGGCGCCAGATTCTGTCCTGGTTGCCCCTCTTCCAGGCCAGCTCTCTGCTGTGGCCCGGGAGTGCAGTGGAGGATGGCCCAGGTGCTTGGGCCCTGCACCCCATGGGAGACCAGGATAAGTACCTGGCTCCTGCCATCGGATCAGCGCGGCCATTGGAGGGTGAACCAACGGCAAAGGAAGACCTTTCTCTCTGTCTCTCTCTCTCACTGTCCACTCTGCCTGTCCAAAAAAAAAAAAATAGCTTTACAAATTACTTTATTCATTCTCCATTTAAATCATAGAGGAAAAGAACTGAGATGTTACAAAACCAAATAAATTATTGATTTTTATATTTGTATATATAGTTACTTTTGTGTTCTTTTATTTCTTCACATAGGTTTGAGTCATTGTCTGCTATCTTTTCATTTTGGACTAAAGGACTTCCTTTAGTATTTTTTATAAAGGCAATTTGTTATTTGTTATTTAAGAATTTTCTTAGGTTTTGAATATCTTAGGATTTTCTCCTTTTTTAAAAAAGATTTTATTTATTTGAGAAGCAGAGTTACAGACAGAGAGAGGGAGAGACAGAGAGGTCTTCTTGCGGGTCATCTTCCATTGCTTTCCCAGGCCATTAGCAGAGAGCTGGATCAGAAGAGAGCAGTGGGACATGAACCTGCACCGATCTGGGATGTGGGTGCGCAGGTGGAGTGTTTGCGCAGGTAGAGTGGTAGCCTGCTACACCACAGCACCTGCCCCTCTCCTTCATTCTTTTTTTTTTTTTTCTCCTTCATTCTTGAAGGATAGTTTTTTGCTGGATATGTTTTTTTTCTTTTTCTTTTCTTTTCTTTTTTTTTTTTTTTAATTTGAGAGGTACAGTTACAGAGAGAGAGAGAGTCTTCCATCTGCTGGTTCACTCCCCAATTGGCCACAAACGGCTGAGGCTGAG